AATTTTACATTTCGAGGTGGTCATGAATTCATGGGTCTCTCCATTCCTCGAAAACAACGAAAATTAACCCCCCACGAAAATGAGTGAGTTCACAGTATTTGTTATTTAAGAGCTGGGTTCACTCAATAATGGAGGATGTGATCGGTCAGCAGGGATGCTTACTCCTCCTTGGTACTTCATCCGACCACTAGAAGTCCGGAGATGCTTTTCTTTATGTCCCCCATCACATATTTGTATAGTTTGTACATTTTTCAAGATTGATCACCGTTCATAACATACCTTTGTGACACGATAGCGGTGTTTTTCTTTGAAGTTTACTGTTCTGTATTAGCGATACAGAACGGGACTGTGGTGGGCGGAGCTACTTTCCGTTCTGTATTAGCCCTGTACATTTTCCATTTATTCTGTATCTAAGATACAGCACGGTCTAAAAATAAATCTGATTCAATTTAGCAAAAGCACGTACAAACAGTAAATGCTTGATGTTTTCCATTATAATTTTTGGAGAAATACCCGGTATTTTCCTGACAATGTAAAATGTCAAAATTTCTCAATCACTTTTTAAAAACTTATTCCACACAGAATCTACATGTAATTTCGATCCAAACCGGAAAATTCGCAATAACTGAAAACATCCACTCTCCTCGCGGAAAATTCGCAATAACGGAAAACATCCACTCTCCTCGTGCAAAATCATTAAGTCCATTTTTTTGCGTTTTTATTTTTTAAAATCCTTCTCGCTGACGACAGCCACACTCTCTTTCTCTTCGTTTTTAATGTCGCAATTCAAAATGAAAATAAAAATCCGTGACATCAAAGTCCATCGAAGAATTTTCTGTAAATCCTGTTTTTGTAAATCTAGTTAAACCGGGATTTTAAGACCCCTGAAATAAATTATGATAAATCTCCATCTACAATAGAGTACAACAATGACGGTTAAATCCTCCAATTTATCCATTAAGACTGACTATCACTCGATTTCGTCTACCCCGTTAAATTGTCAAAACTAATCTGACCGAATTTTACGATTTCCGTTGAAATATATATACTGCGGATGCGTACTCCCCATCGGGGACTCGTCTACAGAACTCTGGCGGAAGTTTGATGCTGCAAAGTTATAAAATGGGCGGAGCTATTTTTGATTGATCGTGTCACAAATCATTTAGAGAACTCGTCAGGTTCTGTATCGTAGATACAAATTTGGGGGTGGAGACTCGTGCTACCGCACTCGTCTACACCCCCAAATTTGTATCTACGATACAGAACCCGTCTCGTTCTCTAAATAATACTTAGAAATTTTTGTACACAGTTTTAACCATTGATGGAAGAAATAATTCTCTAACTTGATACAAGTTTATTGATATAGAATAATTAAATAGAGACTGTTGTATTTTTCTTTTTTACATCAACAGCCATATGAATTGAATAGCACAAATCATATGGAGAAGATAATTTGATGAATTTTCCCAAAAAAATTCTTAATTTCAATTTTTTAAAATTATAAACAAACATTAATAATAAATTGTTAAAATTCAACAATCTGAAAGATGTTCATCGCCAAACTTTTTCACATTACAGGCACGTAGCATCGTTTTTGAAAGTGGGGGGGCCAACCTGAGAAAATTTTTTTTTTACTTACCTGAAAAAGTTGACAAGCAAAAAAAAAAAAAAAAAAAAAAAAAAAAAAAGGGGCAAATTTAAAGTTGCCCAAACTCGAAAATCCTATTTCGTGGGGGGGGGGGGGGGGGGGGGGGGGGGGGGGGTGGTGGGGGGGGGGGGGGGTGGTGCCAACTTACTTCTATCACTTCCAATTTTTTCCTTACACTCCTTGCTATCACTATACTATGGTTATAAGTGGGGGGGGCCAACCATCCTATCAATGAACATTTACTATAGTAAAGGTAATGTTGGGGAAAAAAGTGGGCCCCTGGCCCCCCCGGATACTACGTCCCTGCATTATCTTCATACCTAGTAAGTTTATACTTTTGCACAATTTTGCCGACATTTTGAGTATTCTTCCTCACAGGCTTGACAATACAACCGTCGGAGTAGGACTAAATCTGATTCACCCAAACTGTTGCAGGTTCCTTTGCAATAATGGTAGGAATCCCAACATGTACAAAAACAATTGTTTCCATCAAGTGATACTCCACAGCCATCGGAAAGAGATATCAACATAATTACTAATGCAAAGCGAAGGTACATTGTAAAATCCTGAAATAGTATAAAAGTTCATTTAAATTTTCCTTAATCTTTACTTATGATTCTTAATTGTATGAATAAATTGCTTTGTTTTTAGAGTGAATTCCTAAAAGTTTAATATTCTAAGTACAAAATCAAGCATATTAAAAAAAATCCGTATAGACATGTTTTTTTAAAGAAAAACATTATTGTGCTACATATTTACACATTAGTCATCCTTAACATATCATTATGATAGAAAAAGATACCACGATTAAAAAAACCTATCCAGAAGAGGCAATGTTTCATATATACTCAACAAAAAAAGAAATGCATAATTTTGACTCATCGAAGGTATTTTGAAAAAGTATATGGAACAACTATTTTTTTTATCATTAAATACCTGTGACCTATTTAAAGTGCACCACAGGCTTTTAAACCCCAATTGTTGAATTATTTCCCTTGATTAATAATGTTAATGAAAATATTGTTTTGCATGATTTCTTGTAAATCGTGGGTTTATTTTCAATGAAATTTTGGCTTTAAAGAAACAGTAATCACTCCTATTAAACCCATATTTTTGCTTTGATTGCAATGTTGATGCTGCAATGCCACGCCTAAACAAAGATGAACGCAATAAGGCTCTAACAATGATTCTAACCGGAACTACGCAACTGCATCATTTGGCGCACATCAATCGGCTTTGCAGCAGTTAAACGCACGTCTCCACCAGCTAGGAACACAGATGACAGACCTAGAACTCGCCGTTCGCGTGTTACTACAACCAGAAAGGACCGTAAGATCCTCCATCAACATCTGCGCAATCGACTCGGAACTGCTTTACAAACTGCTGAAATCAGCATGAAATACACAAATTGTTCGCAAAAGACTGAGAGGAGCTCGTATTCGTGCACGACGTCCGTACATTGGAAATCCACTAGCGCTGAGAGGTCGCAATTGACATATGGATTGGTGAGGACGTATGCCTCTAGAATTTAAAGGCGACGACAATGACATCAACTTAACTTGTCAATTTGAAACATAGGACTTGTTTGATTTTTATCACAACACACTCTAAAATCACTTTTAAAAATTAAGGTTTAAACTGAAAACTTAGATTATCATGTTTAATCTGAATATGCGTTTCTTTTTTGTTTAGTATACATATACATGTAATGAATTCTATGGAGAAATATACAAACAGCAAGAGTGTAAATTAAAGTTAATTAAACGTAATTAAAGTAAATGTTACCTGTTTAAACTCTTGTTTTAAGGCAATAAATGGAATCAAATTGGGACATTGGTGTTATGCTTATTTTATTTAGTTTCGTCTACGTAATTTTCCCGATTTTTCTTTCGGGGTTAATCCCCGCTTTTCATTTGAAAAGTTATATGCTTTTTAATCAGAAAGGAAATTTTACGTCTCTGTGATCGTTGTTGACCTTTTTGCTATTGATCATTCAAGTACCTTTTAGTTGTAAGAAATAAAAGCAAAGTAATCTTTCTCTTTCTTTCCTTTTTATACACCAAAACTGAAAGATCCCTGGGGTGTATTGTTTTTGTCCAGTCTGTCTGTATGTTTTTCTGTCTGTTGTCAACGTTAACCTAGCCCATAACTATTGAGTGAGTTTGGCCATGGCTTTGATATTTCACGTGTATATTCCTTGTGACAAATCCTTTCTTTGGGTACTACCAAATTTGACCTTTTGACCTTGATATTCGAGTTTGACCTACTTAAAAAAATACCACACTTTTACCTTGGCCAAAGCTTTTGAACAGCGTGAGCTAGAGCTTTCATCTTTCACATGTGTATTCATTGTGAGAGGACCTTTTAGCTGGCATAAATATTTTTGACCTCGACCAAAGAGTTTGACCCACTTTATAAAAACTTTAACCTTGGTGATTACTTTTACAGTTAGGAATATGGTTTCATCTTTTGCAGGTGTATTCAGACCTTCATTTGGGTACCAAAACTTTTGACCTGTACCTAGTTTGACATACATTTAGGGGAATTCAACCCACGCCAAAAGCTGCCATACGAGGACATCAGTGTTTCACAAACACATCTTGTTTAATGTTTTTTAAACAAAAAATCAGGAAATTTTTTGTCTGACAATTTTGTGTTATGATTATATGATATACATAATGCAATAAATTCACCTAATGTCATTTGTTTTTATGATTTTGATATTTAATAATCTAATGTCACTTGTTTTTATCGACATGTTGTCAATCCGAGTTTCCTCCATTAGTGTGGAACGTAAGATGACAAATAATCTTATACGAAAGATTGACACACAAACAGGCAGTTCCCTAAATCGTAACTTATGTAAATAACCTACTTTTTATGTTATCCCGACATTGTAAACCCTAGTATGATCCTCCAACTGACATAACTCCAATTCCCGCGAATCTCGCATTGTTTTTAAATACATCGAGATCGCTTAGCACAATAAACTTCCGGTGCAGGTCTAATTGCGGGAAAGGGGAGCGGATCGTACGTCATTTCACTAGCAACGTAATACGATATAAACAGCGATCAGCTGTCATCTGCAGCTTTTGCTCACTTGCCTCAATCTGACGAGGACGGAGAAATTATATGATGGAAACCCAAAGCAGATGGGTAATTAATTAATTAAATTATATCAATTTATTAATATTGGGAACTGATGCCTGTGGTTATTTAAATTATTTTAAATAGTTTATTATTGAAAAGAAATATTTCAGGGTATTCCCACATTTGGGAAAAACTTTATATGGGATATTAAACTCCCATTCGTACTGATTTATTGCTTGTATAATTTATTACCGCTCAATAACTCATCCTTGACAAATTAATTTATTTTAATAAAGTTTTATATAAAAAGTTATTTGGTATTATAATTTCTATCTGATATACAGACTTGGGAGACCCACAGTTGCGTTTACCCAAAACACAGTAAAAAGGGTCGAAAACGTAACATTGGTGTCAGAAGTGGGATCATTATAATTTAGAATCCCATACTTTGATTGGATAGAAATTAGGAAACAAATATTTTAAGATTTATAAAATTTTATTTTACCCAATTTGAACATTTTTTGTAAAAGATTTAAAAAAAAAAATGTCCCAAAATAACAGCAACCTGGAAGACTCTGGAGAAATAGTTTTTAATCCCAGATCTTGTATGGGATCACCCAGGTTATCCAGAGATGACCATGTTTTATCTTCTCCCAAACAGGCATCAGTGACCCATCAGTCTGAAAACATGAATGAGCAATTGTTAATTGCAATGCATAATATGACGAAAGAATTTTTATGCATGAAACATGAAGTTGGGCAACAAATAAGTGAAGTAAGGGATGAATCCCAAAGACTGTGGTCAGAAATAAACAAACTCAAACAAAAAGATGAAATAAATAGAAAACCCACTTCCCAATCTATGAATGGGTATGGGGAATCTATTGTTCATCCAGATATGGGTATGCTCTGTGGAGCTAACAAAGAAAATTTCAGTCCCGTAACTACCCATGGGAACTCAGAACTTATAGATCAAAATGAAAATACTTGTGTTTCTACAAGGCTTGCAAATGTGGCACCTGCATCCAAATCTCCCATTGGCATAAAACCCCAAACCTTTGACGGGAGAGATGACTTTAACGAATATTTGACCCAATTTAACATACTTGCTACACTTCATAATTGGGACCATCAAACAAAATCTCTATGCCTTGCAAGTAGCTTGACAGGTGGGGCTAGAGCAGTATTGACAGAGTTAAATGAATCCCAACGACATGATTTTGATTCATTAGTAAGGGCTTTAAATACCCGCTATGGATCTGTAGAACGGTCAGAAATGTATCGTGCTCAGTTAAAGGGTCTAGTAAGGGGAAACAATGAGTCTATTCCCGAACTATCTCAATCAATAAGAAAACTGACAAGAAGGGCATATCCGACAGCAGACCCAACTATGACAAACACCTTGGCTCTAGATCACTTTCTCGATGCTCTAACAGATTCTGACATGCGCCTGCGATTGCGTGAAATGAGACCAAGAGATATTAATGAAGCCGAAATATTGGCAATCAGATTCGAAACCCACAAACTTGCTGACGCCCAGAGGGCTCACACAATTAACAATGTAAATGTTACCCGAGAAAAAGAATCAGATATTGTGGGGGCTATAAAGAAAGCTATAGGGGATGACTTGCAAGCTCTTACCAAAGAGATACAAAATTTTGTGAAGTTCAATAAGGGACAAGGAACCCATTTCAATAATTCCCAAAATCGACCTTCCTATATGGGAAATAGACCCGATCATAGACGGGATAACAATGACAATCGTTCACGACAAAATTTCACCCACAATAGGAATCCAACAAACTACCACACGTCGGGTTCAGGGGTCGGAAGTCGACAGAGATATGGGGCAGACCCCAGGCGACAACATTAGAAAATAAAACAAAATTAACTGAAGAGACTAGTTCAGTCAGACTCAATGAAAAATTTGAAATTGAAAATGACATTCAAACTCCAATAAAGAGTGATTCAAAAGAAATTATGATTAATGACATTATGAGAGTTGGAAATGATGGAATGTATGTAGTTGGGAAAATAGAAAACAAAGTGATACCCATGTTAGTAGATACTGGGGCTAGTATAACGGTACTAAGTTCTAGTGTTGCTAAAGAGCTGGGTAAAGATAAATTGACACCATCTTCTATCAATTTGACATCAGCAAATGGGCAAAATATTTTGGTTCAAGGGGAAATCCCAATAAGTATTAGCTTGGGAAATGTTACTGTTACCCACAATGTGTTGGTGGCAGATATCCTTAATGATTTTATATTGGGGATAGATTTTATGGCAACAAATACTTGTGACATTTTGATTAAGAAAAAGAAATTGAAAATTAAGGGTACAGAGATCCCTTGTTTTAACAGAGAAGAAATGAAAATCCCAGTTAGCAAAATAACAATTTTTGAGGATATAGAAATACCTCCTAATAGCGAGATAGTAGCATCTGGGAAAGTAGAAAACCCATTATTTCTTGGGGAAGTGGCTATTGTAGAGCCTACGACAAAATTTATTGAGAAGCATGAAGTGCTTATTCCCAAAACTTTGGTTAAGGTTAATACCGGGGAAAATATCCCGATACGGTACACCAATTTAAATGATCAAAGTATTAAGATCTATAAAGGGACTGTAGTTGCCAATATTGAAAAAGTTGAAGAAATGTATGAATCTTGTACACATTCCATCAATTCCCTGAACATTGACATCCAAAATGATACTCATTTGCCAAAGCATTTAGAACAAATTGTGGAAAAACTCCCAAATTATTTGGATTCAAAACAAAAAGAAAAATTTATTGCCTTACTTAAGGAATTTCAAAATAGTTTTTCCAAAGATTCCTCTGACATGGGTCTGACTGAACTAGTGGAACACACTATAAATACGGGAAATGCAAAACCCATAAAGCAACATCCCCGACAAATACCTCTAGCTAAATTTAAAGAAGCGCAAAAAGAAATCAATGACATGTTAGATAAAAAGATTATAGAATCCTCGGACAGTCCATGGAGTTCTCCCATAGTCCTTGTTAAGAAAAAGGATGGGACAATCCGGTTCTGTATCGATTACAGAAAACTGAATGACATAACAGTTAAAGACAGTTATCCTATTCCCAGAATAGACACGACATTGGACGCTTTATCTGGGTCAAAATGGTTTTCTACAGTTGACTTAAAAAGTGGGTACTGGCAGGTAAAAATGTCGCCAGAGGATAAACCCAAAACTGCATTTTCAATTCCGGGGGGTGGTCATTGGCAATTCCTAAACATGCCGTTTGGACTTTGCAATGCTGGGGCCACATTTGAAAGACTTATGGAAAAGGTTTTATCTAACTTGTCATGGAAAATTTGCTTAGTATATCTAGACGATATCATTATTCTTTCAAAAACTTTTGAAGAGCACATTGACAACTTGAGACAAGTTTTCACCCGACTAAAAGAAGCTAATTTGAAAATGAGTCCAAAGAAATGTATATTTTTACAAAAGGAAGTTTCATTCCTTGGGCATATTATAAATGAACATGGGATATTGACTGACCCATCAAAGATTGACACTGTTAAAAACTGGCCTATTCCCAAAAATGTTAGGGAAGTGAGAAGTTTCCTAGGACTCTGTTCCTATTATAGGAAATTTGTACATAAATTTGCAGATATTGCCAAACCTTTGCATAAGTTGACAGAATCCCAACAAAAATTCTTATGGGAACCCAATTGTCAAGAAGCATTCGACACATTAAAGAAAGCTCTTATTAGCTCTGACTCTTAGCATTCCCAAAGGATGAGGGCCTGTTCATCCTAGACACAGACGCCTCCAATACGGGTTTAGGGGCAGTCCTTTCCCAAGAACAAGATGGGGTTGTCAAGGTCATAAGCTACTTTAGTAAAACTTTTAGTGCCACTGAACGACGCTACTGTGTCACAAGAAGAGAACTATTAGCTATCGTCAAGTCAATAAAACATTTCCATCACTACTTATATGGAAAACCTTTCAAAGTGAGAACTGACCATGGCTCACTAACATGGCTTTTAAACTTTAAAAACCCAGAAGGTCAGCTAGCCCGATGGTTCGAATCACTGTCTTCCTATGACTTTAAGATTGAACATCGAGCCTGTCGATCACATAGCAATGCGGATGCCCTATCCCGTAGACCTTGTGTCGATCAAAATTGTAAACATTGCATGAGAGCTGAAACAAAATATGGGTCAGAAATTATTGACAAAGTTAGTAATGAACATGTTAGAACCATACCTGAATCATGCCAGGTTGTCACTCGCTCTGGAAATCATGAAAGTTCTTTACCATCTAATTCTCAAGATCCTAAAAAACAAAAATCACTTCAAAATAGGAGTTTAGAACATATACAAGAAAATGACCCAGATATTAAAAAGGTTATAGAATGGGTAAAATCCCAAAATAAACCTACCTGGGAGGCTATATCAAATTTGAGTGAAATATACAAATACTACTGGGTTAGATTCGATTCCCTCAAATGGCAAGATAACATTCTTTATCATAAATGGGAACATGTTACCCCAAAATTGCAAGTAATTCTTCCCAGTTCATTTGCCAAAGAAGTTTTGGAAGAAATCCACAGTGGCATCACTGGGGGACATCTGGGTTACAAAAAGACATTATCAAAAGCTCGAGACAAATATTTTTGGTATAAAATGTCTCATGACATTCGACATTACTGTCAAACTTGTGACATTTGTGCTTCGAGGAAATCTCCCAATAAGTTACCAAAAGCCCCTTTACAAATTTATAACGTTGGGGTACCAATGGAACGTTGGGCATTAGACATATTGGGACCACTTCCCATAACCCATAAGAAAAACTCATACCTACTAGTTGTAGGAGACTACTTTACAAAATGGGTTGACGCCATCCCTATGAAAAATAAAAAGGCTACTACTATATCCCAAAAATTATTGCAACATATAATACCTATCTTTGGAGTACCAATGCAATTACACTCCAATCAAGGTCAAATGTTTGAGTCTACTATATTCCAAGAATTGTGTAAATTACTGGGAATAGAGAAGACCCGAACTTCACCTTACAGACCCCAATCTGACGGGATGATTGAAAGGGCTAATCGTACAATTGAAAATATGTTGTCAGCTTTTGTTGATAGAAATCAGAAAAATTGGGATGAGTTAGTACCTTTACTCATGTTGGCGTATAGATCCTCAGTACATGAATCCACAGGGGTGAGCCCAAATGAGATGGTCTTTGGTCGACAAGTTGCACTCCCTATTGATCTGGTACTTGGGAGACCTGACCCTGAAAGATGCAACATTTCAGAATACATACAAAATTTATCAGAGAAAATGAACAAAATTTACAATTTCGCCAGGGAAAATATCAAATTAAATTCCCAGAGCATGATAAGAGAGTATAATACAAAAATCCAACATAATCCCTATAAAATAGGCGATGCAGTATGGGTATACTATCCTAACCAAAATCTGGGTTTAAAACGAAAATTATCCAGACATTGGGCAGGACCATTCAGAATCAAAGAGAAAATAAATGACATTCTCTACAAAATTCAAAAGCACCCTAGACATAAAGGGGATGTAGTTCACCATAATAGATTGAAAATCTACAATGGGATAAATATTCCCAAATGGTTTCAAGCATAAAAATTCTATACTGTGGTGTATATATGCATGGCTAATACAGTATATATACAGTATATAGATTGACATATAGTTCAAAATTTGATTGACATATTATTCAAATTTTGATTGACATGATTTTACTGTTACTTTATTATTATTGGACATAATATTACTATGACATGGTTCCAAGGGAACTAAGAAAAAAAATTATCTATTTCCACAGATACAGCGCTTCAAATGCCTCCTTTGCAATGGTAGGGAATTTACAAATCAGATTCATGCGGAACGACACTTGACCGCCACCCATTCTGGGTTTGGGTACCAATGCGACAAATGCCACTATATGTTGGGGCGCAAGGACCAAAAACACGGATGTAAGGGATACAACCTCCAACTTCTCAAGAAATCGAACATGAAGTACGGGGAAGAAGAGCGCAAAGAATTCGCAGAGTTCCAAAGGAAGAGATCGACTCTCGTTGAGGCTTTCATGAAAGAAGTCGTTCCCAACTTCAATCCGACACCAGGAGCAAAAAGAGCAATCTATATGGACACAGTGGTACTCCCAAAGAAACAAAAAGTAGACAACAAAGGCGACAATGACCAGAGAATTCCAGCTCCTGGTCCAGTACCAAGTCCTAAACCTGTGGAACAACCCCAGCCTCAGTCTACTAAGCCAACCACATCCACTACTTCTAACCCAAAGGCAAAGAAAACTTACAAATCCAAGTCAGTCGTATCTTCGGTATCATCATCATCATCCTCATCCTCATCTTCAACTTCAAATTCGGACTCGTCCTCATCTACAAAGAAATCAGAAAATCCCATCAAAGATGTCCTTTCGATAAATGCCCCAGAAGAAGAAAGTTATGAAGTTCAGGAATCTAATGAAACACCTACATATACCCCGACTAACCAGATGGAAGTTAAACTTAACATAGTCAAAGAACAACAAGACGGTCACGTAATACTGAATGTGGGGGGGAGAAAGTTTGAAACAAGTAGAAGAACACTGTCAAGCGACCCATCATCATTACTGGCAGCAATGACCAACATAAATTCACCCATCAAGCCATCCAACGAAACCTATTTCATTGACAGGAATCCCAGATACTTTGATTTCGTGCTTGACTATCTAAGGTCCCCAGAAGCGTTTCCTAATATTCTTCCATCCGACTTTACAGTGTTGCGTCAACTTTATGTTGAAGGAAAATTCTATGGTCTATCTGGATTAGTGTTAGCAGTCGAGAAAAAGGGACAGACACAGCCACTATGGGAGGAAAAATAATGGGACAGATAAACACTGTGATGTATTCCAAGTTGTGATATATAAACACTGTGATATATTCTGAGATGTGATAGACAAACACTGTGATATATTCTGAGATGTGATATATTGTTAATTTTTATTTATATTTGTTGTTGTTTGAATATGATGTCAATTGTTATAATTGTTATATAATATGTTTATAATGTTTTATTATAAAATATGTAATGAATTTTTATCATTAACATGACAAGTTAATGAAAATACACTTACCTTTGACATCACTGATTTCTTTTCCTTTCAATGGATTGACAAAGTTCCCATTCGAGGACGAATGCCTATTAGGAAGGGGGGCAGTGTTACGATTTATGATTTTGATATTTAATAATTTAATGTCATTTGTTTTTATCGACATGTTGTCAATCCGAGTTTCCTCCATTAGTGTGGAACGTAAGATGACAAATAATCTTATACGAAAGATTGACACACAAACAGGCAGTTCCCTAAATCGTAACTTATGTAAATAACCTACTTTTTATGTTATCCCGACATTGTAAACCCTAGTATGATCCTCCAACTGACATAACTCCAATTCCCGCGAATCTCGCATTGTTTTTAAATACATCGAGATCGCTTAGCACAATAAACTTCCGGTGCAGGTCTAATTGCGGGAAAGGGGAGCGGATCGTACGTCATTTCACTAGCAACGTAATACGATATAAACAGCGGTCAGCTGTCATCTGCAGCAATTGCTCACTTGCCTCAATCTGACGAGGACAGCTACAGAAAGATAATGGAAACCCAAAGCAGATGGGTAATTAATTAATTAAATTGATTAATTTATTAATATTGGGAACTGATGCCTGTGGTTATTTAAATTTATTTTAAATAGTTTATTATTGAAAAGAAATATTTTAGGGTATTCCCACATTTGGGAAAAACTTCATATGGGATATTAAAATCCCATTCGTACTGATTTATTGCTTTTATAATTTATTACCGCTCAATAACTCATCCTTGACAAATTAATTTATTTTAATAAAGTTTTATATAAAAAGTTATTCGGTATTATAATTTCTATCTGATATACAGACTTGGGAGACCCACAGTTGCGTTTACCCAAAACACAGTAAAAAGCTAAGCCCAGATAACTATTTTACTTATAATGATATTTAAGAAATGTTTTTTTTATTATAACATCCGCCTGTCTTTCACACTTTTGTTTTCATTTAAAATGCCTATGTCTATTAAGCCTCTATTTTTACTCATTACAAAATATTAACTGCTGTTAAGGAGACATTGTAGATGCACTATGATACAGCATATTACAGAAGTCGGAGAGATCAGATAAAGATTCTCAAATCTATATAGAAAGTTTGTAATGCTAGTACTTTTTTTAATATTACGAATTTTCTATACTTCCTACATCCATTCCTCGCGATAATTAAATAATCGACTTTTTGATATTATAGACAACGGTTTTTTTAAAAAAATAAAAATAGCAGTTAGATTTTTTTTCTATTTAATGAATGGTTATTTTCAAAATCACGTTGTTAAAAACAACCATGTAGCATCGTTTTTGAAAGTGACCGGGGGGGGGGGGGGGCTACCAGAGAATTTTTTTTACTTACCTGAAAAAAAAATATTACCGAAAATACTATTTCGTGGAGGGGGGGGGGTGGTTAGGTTAGAAGCCAACTTTTTTTCAATGCCAACTTCTTTCAGTACCAATTTATAAATACAACATTTTCCTTACATCACAAAAAAGGGGGGAACCAGCCTTTCAATGAACATTTCCTATAGTATAAGTAATGTTGGGGAAAAAAAGTGGGGGGGGGGGGGTCACTTTAATTCTGAACACGTTATCTGATGCTTATTTTTAAAGGATACCAGAGATCCCCTTTCAGATATTCATGTAGAACTCGAATACCAGGTCTTCCAACAAACTGCTGTTATTCCGATTTACCGCCCTTTCATTAGCCGACCAATTTTTATGCACTGTATTCCCATGAAACAGAATTTATTCATCAACTGCTATATGAAATAAATTCACTTGTTGGCCTCCAACTCGCATAAATCGACAATGTATTGTCACTTACCAATAGTAAATTTCATTCATATATCGATTCGATATATCCCAATAAACTTGAAAAACAATGATACCACATTGTTTGTGACACCTGTTTCATTTTTGGATGTTTTTATGACTATAAACAATATTAATCAACTATATTTGTTTGCCACATCTGTTACATATTTGGATGTTTTAATGACTATAGACGATAAAGATCATCTATCAACTATATTGCATGATAAAGGAGATGACTTCAACTTTTTCATAGTCAACATTCCTGATTTATGCATACAATAGTACAAAAGAAATTTATTAAATGATATTAAACTATGAATCAGTGTAATGGAGTTGAATTATCCTTTATAAAACTTAAGGATGGCACGAAAAACATTACAATTGCTCAATGACCCCGAATGTTGAGAATTGATCTAAATTTTTCAGCCTTCCAGTGTTTTCCCCCTAGTGTTTCCATATAAGTGAAAAATATCCGATAGGGACATTAAACAAAAAGAAACTAAATCGAAAGTTAATTATATCTAATAACCTAGAATTTCCATATCCAAAACTGCGTTATTTAGTTCAGTATGAAAAAGATTGATTGAGGTTTGTGGTTTTGCTAGACCATAGTGCACATTGTTTTAAAAAGCAGAAAAGTGCGGTATATACCTTTTTTGCTTTTTTTGTTTCTTTCAAGTTGTTGGGATTTTGATTTTATCTGTTTTTTGTTGAGCATTATTGCTCGTTAATTATGTAAATACACAGTGCTCTTGGCGGATATGATAGGTTCTATGGAATTTTCACTTCTTTGGGGTACCAGATTGCAACTCTGAGAGATTGTCTTTGTCCAAAACAACATGTAGCATTCTAATTACATTAATCCACAGCCAAGTTGTCATAAAATACCAAATCACTAATTATGTCACTTTATGATATGTAAATGATTTTATCTAAAAGCCGTACTTCATTTTACTCTCATTTTTGTGTCATCTGTATAGACAGTTTTAAAGACAGTTAAAGGAGGATGAAGACGGGAAGACAAAAGAAGAGGTTGGAAGATAACATTCCTGAGTGGACTGGACTGAGCATTGCAGAATCCCAGAGAGCGAAGAAAACAGAGAAACAATGGTGGATCGAAGGTGCCCCAAAGACATCCACGGAAGTCAAGGGATAGGTGAAGTTGAAAGTATAGACAGAGCGACCAAATACACAGACGTCTGTTCGTCCGTTCATCTGTCCTTTCTAAGACGTACCTTGAGCAATGAAAGGATTTGATAATGTCATGAATGTGGTCATGTATTACTTGATAACTTGGGTTTTGTAAAATATCGTAGCCACATATACCGATCTCATGAAATTTTCCCAAAAGTTCATTTTGCTGATTAACGGGATATATTGGTTTGATCCATGACCCACTTACCAATTTTCTAAATGAAAATTCACTGCTGTATATTCAATGGTACCGTGATACTGATTTGATGAAAAAGAGTTTTACTTTTTTCTTCACAAGCATAAGACATTTTGAATGAAGTTTGAACTTAAGACAATGTTCATCAAGTATCATGCAATGTTTCTTAGATCTTGTTATCCCCCTTTCAAAAGAAAAGACACACAATTCATTCATATATGCTTCAATTTAAATTATGCCCAAAAGATTACTATTCGGTTCATTGCACAGTTCATCTTTAAAATTTAGATGAAATGATTACATTCAAATTACATGAATTATATTTTACACAGTGAAATGAAAAAGAAGTTGCAGAGAAGTTTTTTTCTATAACATATTAAATAAAGTCCATTTTTTTTCGTTTTTTGGTCAAACGTTGAAGATTCATTTTTTACGGCAATATCTCAAACAAGTTAAGAGGGCTTTAACACAGTTTGATGAACAAACCAAATTCCACGGAGAACTGATTCCGTTGCCACCCTTTTTGCAGATGTCGTAAAAGTCCCCACATCTGCATGTGCATGCGTTTTTCCTTTACCATATGCTGCAACCATCGTCAAGAGACACCTAGAGAATCACTAATGCAATGCGACAGAACATTGTTTAAGTCTGAAATTAATCAGGAAAAGGAAAAAGAACATGATTAATAAAACATTAGTTTTGTTGATAATTTCAGAGGCGGATCTAGAATTTCAGGATAAATATGGGATGGTGTGGCAAGCCAGAGCTTTTGGATGCCACCTTAAGGTGTTCCGGATTCCAAATTTTTGGACAAATTTTAGTTTTCTAAGAACATATGATACTTTTCCTTTCACTGTAATGAATAATAAGAATTTATAAAACTTTCAATACTTTTAAAGTCTATGGAAACGAAACAGAGGAATTATGACCTCAAAAGCACCGAAGCTCTTGCCTAGAAAGAAAACAAAAATTATACTTTTAATCATAATTTTAATCGACTAAAAAAAACTTTAAAAACTTAAACCGCCGATGAAACTTATTTAACATCATGTACGAGGGTTGTCCGTAAACTTCGTGGACACCATTGATAATTACTGACAAACATTGATGAAATATATGAAACTATTGTTTTCATTGAATTAATTTTTCATTTTATACATATGCAAATTTTAAACAAAAACAAAGCACAAATAGTTACATTTTTATCAGATACAAAAAGACACAAACTCGATACCCGGAGCACTAAAACGAAAATTCTTGACTTTGTCGTTACTCGACGTCAAAAGCTTTAATACATGTAACTTTTCTCAACACAGTCACCGATTTACTCAATACATTTCTTATGAACTGTTATATATAATCTTGAGAAATAATATTAATTGAATGTGACCTGCGTTTTACGACCCTTATGTTCAAACGCAAAAATTGTTCAGACGCAAAAGTTAAAGCTTTTGCTCTAGAATCACGTAAGGGATTGTCCAACGCGTCGCTGGTTCTAAGGCAACTGCAGGACATTGAGACCGTACCTTTGGACAGTATAAACG